ATGAAGCTGGCCTCAGCGTGGCCTTTTTAACAGCTCAAAGCTGTGAATCATAGAGCCACGGAATCCCAGACTGGTTTGGGTTGGAAGGGACCAAGCTCATCCAGCTCCAACCCCTGGCACAGGAAGGGACATCCTCCACTAGAGCAGCTTGCTCCAAGCCCCACCCATATCATAGACTCCTGAGTTGGAAGGGACCTCAAGGATCATCTGGCCCAATCTTTTTAGGCAAAGCATGACAAACTGGATGTCCCAGCACACTGTGCAGCCCAATCTTAACAGTGTCCAACGTCTGGGAGCCACCACTTCCCTGGGGAGATTATTCCAATGGCTGCTTATCCTCATGGTGAAAAATCTTCTACTGCCCAGTCCAGAATCTCCCCAGCAGTAAGTTGTGCCCATCAATCCCGGTGTTTTCCATGGACTCCTTGTCAAAAGGGAGTCTCCACCTTCTTTGTAGCCACCCCTTAAATACTGGCACATGATGACAAGGTCTCCCCTGAGCCTTCTGGCCTCCAGGCTGAACAGTCCCAGCTCTCTCAGCCTTCCCTCACTCACTGCCCAGCCCTTGGATCATCTTTGTGGCCTTTCTCTGGACCCTCTGCAGCCCATCCACACCTCTTTTGTAGATCAGGGACCAACCTGAACACAACTAACGTATAGCCCCTGGTTAATACATTTCACCCAATGGACCTTCATCCAGATCATCTGCAGAGTTTGCATAGGAAAGCTTCATAATAAGGTTGGGTTTTCTTTAGTATTTCCATGCCTGTCTGTATTTCCAGGATGCCTGTTGTGTCCTCACCAAGACACAGTAATCGGCATCATAATTACTGGCTTTAAAAGGCTTCGTGTGTTTCACAAGAGCAACATGAAGTCTGCGAAGAACAGAGCGAAATTCCATTTCAGTTGGGAATATTTCCCAAGAGAGTGTGTCACAAAGGCTCGAAGAATGAAGAAAATCTTTATATTTAGATTATGTTAATCATTTATCTCTTGTCCTTCTCCCGGCTTTCATGAGGACAGATGAACGTAAAAGGAATTCTTTGCTTGGACACAGACAGAAGAGCAGAAACAGATCAGTCCCAGCCACAAGTCGTGTTCTCTGTTCCCAGGCTTCGTTTCAGAACCGGGTTCGCCTGCTTTTGGGAAGTGAATTCAGCCAAGAAGCAAGTTCACAGCCAGCTCCAACAAAGTGTTAAGATGGGGAAATGGGACATTTAGATTTGAGATGCAGAAATAGTGGCACATGATATACCAAAACAAACAGTTATCCAAGGAAAGATGCCCTGGTGAGACCTCATCTGGAATATTGTGTCCAGTTCTGGGCCCCTCAGTTCAAGAAGGACAGGGACCTGCTGGAGAGAGTCCAGCGCAGGGCAACTGAGATGATGAAGGGAGTGGAGCATCTCCCTTATGAGGAAAGACTGAGGGAGCTGGGTCTCTATAGTTTGGAGAAGAGGAGACTGAGGGGTGACCTTATTAGTGTATATAAATATATAGAGGGGGAGTGTCACGAGGATGGAGCCAGGCTCTTCTCAGTGGCAAACAATGATAGGACAAGGGGCAATGGGTACAAACTGGAACACAAGAGGTGCCACTTAAACTTGAGAAGAAACTTCTTCTCAGTGAGGGTGACGGAACACTGGAACAGGCTGCCCAGGGAGGCTCTGGAGTCTCCTTCTCTGGAGACATTCAAGACCCGCCTGGACACGTTCCTGTGTAACCTTATCTAGGTGTTCCTGCTCTGCAGGGGGATTGGACTGGATGATCTTTTGAGGTCCCTTCCAATCTCTAACATACTGTGATACTGTGAAAGATGTATCCCAGAAAGTCAAATTAAAATGCTTCTACTTGTAGGCAAAATAGAGAAGGGAATGATGATGAAACAAAGCAAAGACAGAGAACAATACATGTAAAAGCAAAAGTAATCAGATACCCCAAATCCTAAAACTTTCCCCAGATTCCAAATATTTCTCTCACTGAACTTGATTTGATCTTGGTTTTTAGGGGGGACGTGGTCTCCTTGGACTTACCTTGCAGCCACTTCCCTTTCCCAGGCTCTGGACTGGGCTGGATGGGAGCTCCAGGCTACCTGGAAAGGGGAAAGCTTCAGCACTGGGGTGCTTATTGGTAAGTCTGGGGGCTTGGGAGGACCACGTGAATTCAATCTGGTCCATGCTGGGCACTGCTGTCCTGCAGCAGCAGCATGTCCCCATTGGAGCTTGGTCCCAGCTCTGCCTCCACAGGCAGCCTGCACACAGTGCCTATAATTTCCAGAGGTACTTTTTGGGTGGTAAAACTCTTAATCCCTCATGCTGAAATACGTTATTTTTTCTATTTGATACAAAAATCCTGCTGAACCTTTGGCTCACTTCTTTTCCTGTGAAACAGATTTCTTGCCAACTTGGCCATTGGGCTCAATATAACTAATGAAAACTGCCCCGGAGACACGAAGAAACAAATGCTTCCATTTTCAGCAAAGCTTCAATTCAATTTACTCCATATTAAATCCATTCTTCAAAGAAAACCTCAAACAAAACCACTGCAGGACTTTCAGCACAGATGGCTGGTGCTGTGCCTTTCACATGTCCCCCATCCACAGGGTCAGGCAGCTGCTGCCATCCCGGTTGAGGATGGTGTTTGTCCAGCCATTCGCCTGTTCCTTAGGGTGGGAATGTTGCCTGGCTGTTGGGAATGGTGCCATCTGCTTCAGTATTTGCTGCAGGGTATTGTTCACACGAGCCATCCATGGAGGGATGTGTCTGTGCTGGGAACTATAATGAGATCTGCAGGGACATGCAGGGGAGGACGAGCTGCTTCCATTAACTACTTGCATTACTCTAAGTGGACAGGTACTATTTCATTACCTATTGAGAAATGAGCTTTATAGATCCTGTTAATAAAGGAGATGGGGCTTTCTATTAGGAGGCTGTGAAGCAGATAATGAGGCAGCGGCTCTCCTCTGCCCTCGGACATTCAGGCACATCGCTTTGTGCCACCTTCCGAGTGCTGATCATTTCTGACACCAAATTTCCCCCTTCAGAAAAGACACGAACTTTATCTCATCAAACCCTGTCTCCTGCAATCTCCCTGCACGTCTTGTGCTCTCATTTACCTCTCTGTGCCACACAGAGCATCCTTTCTGCCTTTGAGGCTTCAACCAGAGCCCTTTAATTTGACGACCGCTGCGGCAGCTGATAAAGCTGGAGCCAGATTTAGCCCTTGCAAGGCTGCTGCGAGCAGCTGAGCCTGGTATGGAAGAGAGGGTTGTATTTTGTGGTTGTGTTTTGGAGCTGCTAAGAGCCGGGCTGGGTGGCCTGCCTGGGGGTGCAGGGGTTTCGTGCCTCCTATGATCTGGTCAATGTGAGCACCTCCTAAGGAGCAGCCTGCACAGGTCCCCTTTGCCTGCCGGTTTTCCTGGCTCTATTTCCATCCTGCAGGAGGTTGGATAGCAACAGGAACACCCCATTGCCGAGTTCCTGCTCCCAGGGGTGGCCAGGCCAGCAGCGGGGTGGCCTTTGGGGGCTGACACATGGTGCAAGGGATTCTGTTTGCAGGGACACCGCAGCACTGTGCCCTCAGTGCTGCAGGGGTAACCCCAGCCCGAGCAGCATCACCTCTTCTTGCCGTGTTCTGCTTATCCTGGGTGTGCACAAGCAGGCAGCTCCAATACTGATGGATGGGCTGGCTCAGCAGGAGCATATTGAATAGTGTGGTATTAAATCACTAACAAGGATGAGTGCAAGAGTCTCGTGAGCCTGTTTGGCTCCGTGATTGGTAAGTGAATCATAGAATCACAGAAGGGTTTGGGTTGGAAGGGACCTTAAAGCAGCTCTAAGGTCTCCCCTTCAGGAGCCTTCTCTTCTCCAGGCTGCCCCAGCCCAGCTCTCTCAGCCTGGCTCCAGAGCAGAGCTGCTCCAGCCCTCGCAGCATCTCCATGGCCTCCTCTGCACTCGCTCCAACAGCTCCACGTCCCTCTTGTGCTGCTGCCCCAGAGCTGGATCAGGGCTGCAGGGGGGGTCTCCCCAGAGCACAGCAGAGGGGCAGGATCCCATCCCTGAGCTGCTGCTCACGCTCTGGGGGTTCGGGCCCATCCTTCCATCAGGCTCTGTGAGATGGATGGGCTTGCTCCATTGGTGCTGATGCCTTTCTACATCAATCTGCAGCCCTGCAGCTGACAAACACCAGCGTGACAAACGCTCTGTGAGCACTGCGGATTAAGCCCATTTTACATGAAATATTGGAAAGCTGATGGTGGCTAGCACCCTGCCCGAGCCATGTTTGGGATCCTGTTTGCAGAACAGCCCTCCACATTTGGGAAGGTATGTGTGAGCCCAGGCTCGGGCCTGCCTTGCAGGCTGGGGCTGTGGCACAGATGTGGCTGTCCAGGGTGTATGGCTGCGGTGGGGACATGGGAGCTGCAGCCCCTCCATCGCCCAGCCGCGGTTTTGGATGCCTGACGTTAAGTGACCCAGCTGAAGGGTGCCCTGCCCATGGGGGCAACTGCCTGGCACCGTCCTGGTTCTGGTTTGTTTTCAGGCATTAAGGGGTACTTGCTGTGAGGGTGCTGAGGCGCTGGCACAGGGTGCCCAGAGAAGCTGTGGCTGCCCCATCCCTGGCAGTGCTCAAGGCCAGGTTGGACACAGGGGCTTGGAGCAAGCTGCTCCAGTGGAAGGGGCCCTGCCCATGGCAGGGGTTGGGGCTGCAGGAGCTTTGAGGTCCCTTCCAACCCAAACCATTCCATGATTCTATGACTCCATATTCCCTTGATTTCCTTCTGGAATGGCACTCATTGTGCTGCCAGCAGAACAGAGTTAGCTGTTACAAGATGAATATTTAATATGTAGCTTAGTATTTCTTTGTTGAACTCACATTTTAGGAAGCTTTGCCCACTGATGGGGGAAAACCTCTTCAGCCCCCTCATGCTGCGGAGCCCCATGGCTGCAAACCCAGCTCCTGGCCATGTCCCAGGGACTCCTCCGAGGTGCCCTGATGCAGCTCTGAACCAGGCAGTGAGGTGAAAAACTCCCTCTCCATCTGCAGGGATCCATCTTTTCCCAGCCACTGCAGCATCCCTACCCAGGGCAGGTAAATATTCAATGGGAGGCAGATAAATCCTTATCCTGGCATCTTTAATATACAGCCTGTCCCTTGTATTTGTTTCACTCCATCATGTTTAAATGAGAGCTGTGAGTGAGTAGGAGACTCACATGAAGCCTGTTTATTCTAATCTCTCACTGACACCTAAAATTTGCAAGCTGTTATTCCCAGTCCTTCCATTTGCTTTGTTCTAGCTCCCAGTTTACGTTTCCCTTGGAAGGTTATGCTAACACCATCAATAGCCCCACCAGTCAGTTTGCAAACTGTGCTGCCAGCCCATAATGACCTGCTAAAAATACGGCGAATGATTCATCTCCTGATCTATGGAAACGGTAGTTATTTGTTCTTGGCAGCTCCCCTGGGTTTGCTCTGGGCTGCAGGAGATGACAAGTACCAGCAGATCAAGGGATACTGAGGGGATGTTTCTCCCTTGTGTTTCAGGGGTATGAAAACATTTGCCACAAGGTGGGTGTTCCATGGATGGGGGGATATTCCCTGGGGAAGGTCTTGGGGCGTCTCAGACCTATACTAATATTAACCAATGCTAATGATGTCATTTTTGACAGAAGTGTTTAAACAGAAATCACTTTAAACAGAAATACACTGAAGCTCTGCAATGCTCAGTGGTTTCTAATATTTTAATAGGAGCTGCTTAAATGCCCTAATAATAAAATAAGGGCTGTTGCAATAACTTTTTTTTTAACTGAAATCAGTGCATGGAGTTACTAAATTCAGGTCTTATCTCGGTTTATGTATTTAGGTTTCAATTCCAAGCCTTCTGCAGACCTGCAGCAATCTTTACAGCGAAGGTTTCACAGCTCCAGCCCTTTTCTAACCCCTGCCACAGAGCAATGTGCAAAAAGGGTTAAATCTGTTCCTTTCCTAGCTGCAAATCCCCAGTTTTTCCAGGAGAGGGCTGGAAACGCCGACCCCTCTCTCATTGTGTTGTGACAGCGTCTGGCTTCGTTTGAGGATCATGGAACGGTTTGGGTTGGAAGGGACCTTAAAGCTCATCCAGTTCCAACCCTCCTGCAATGAGCAGGGACATCCTCAACCAAACCAGGTTGCCCAGAATCACATCCAGCCTGGCCTGGAATGTCTTCAGGGATGGGGCATCCGTCACCTCTCTGGGCAGCATGTGCAGGGTGTTACCACACTGGATTGGGTTGGATTTGGCAGGGAAAAAGACCATGGCTTTAGCGAAGTGTACTTGGGCTGTGCATAATACTTATTCCTCTGCCCATAACCCTTATTAGTTGGTCCTGGGGAATATTTGCATTAATTGCTTATATCTTTGCCATGCTAGGATGTGCCTCTGCTGAACACAAGGGTCAGCTCTGCCCAGTGTCAATGAGAGAGTTTATTGCTCACTAAGCAGGTATAAACCCATCTGTATTGATATTATGTGCAAAGCTTTGCTGGTGTGACCAGAGCAGCGCTCAGCACCATTGGATCAATGCAAAACCAGAGCTGAAATTTGTTTGCAGATTATTTTTGCAGCTGCTTACTGCAAATAAATAGACCTTCAGGAATCTGGGGTGGTTTGTGAACGTCTCCTTAATGGGGAAAAAACGGCTATTTCCTCAAATAACCAATTTACTCTTTGTGATTGAATCATCTCCACTCATGTCAAATGGTGAGGCCGTCAGGAGGAAGGGGTGATGAAGAGAAGGATCCTGGCTGGAGCACATACCCTGAACCCAGGAATGGGAGCTGCGCCCCACGTGGGACTCCTCATATTTGAGCAATGTGGACCAGAAAAGAAACATGGAGCAAGAAGTGGGAGCTTCAGATCTCTTTTCCACAAATATTTAACCCAAAAGGTTAACTCCGAACCAAAGGATTTGGAGAACCACAACCGAGCTGGGGGTCTCACCTGCAGCAGTTACAGCCGTATGTGCATACAGCCATGTACTGCGTATACACTGCAGTGAATGGGCAGAGGTGCCAAGCATCCATTTGAAACGCGGCTCATTTGGAGCGCGCTCGATGCGGCCGCGCTGAGGAAGGATGCAGCGGTTGTGTTTAACCGGGAAGGAAATATTTATGTAACTGCAGAGCTTCCCCCGCTTCCCTGTGCCCGGCTGCGAGCGCTCCTCAGGAGCCTCCCTGCGGGGCTTGGCTTCCCCTAGGGCACAGAGCAGTGCGGGAGCAGCCCTTTGCAGCGCACTCGCTGCAGGGTAGAGGGAGCTGTGTCACTTGGCTTCGGACATGGGACAGGAGCAATTGGAGATCCTGCTCCGTGCATCCCTCCGTGTCACTGAGGGCACAGGTACAGGGCAAAACGGTGCAAATCAGGTATGGAAATCAGGTTCTAGGTCTTAGTCACCAATGGGATGGGGGGTTGTCCTCAGTCGTTGTAGTGTGTAATACATAGATAAAGGGAACGGTTTCTGATCACTAGGAAAGAAAAAAGGCACCACAAACCCACCTTCTGTCCCTAAAAGTTGAAGAGTCTCAGTAGAGAATGCTATGTGTTTTAAGTGATAGTGGTGCGATGTGAGGAGGGGCTGTGAGCTCCAGCTGCCTCATCTGGTGATGTTCCTGCCTCCTGACCACTGCTGGGAAAATGCTCTTTGACCACTCCATTTTCTTGCTTCTTTCCAGCTACAACAGCTGGAAAAAGTGGCAATTTTGGGCTGAGGGGCAAGGGAGAGCATAAGGTGAGCCCAGCCTTGGACATGCTTTGTGCCAAACCCTTGAGGAGGGTTTGGCTGACCTTCCTCATACTGCGGCTGGCTGGACCATGGCTCCTTGTCTGAAAGTCCTGTGGTTGCTGCTCCACTGCGTGTGCATAGAGAAATGGGGCAGAGCATCCCCAAATGCTGATGCTGGGAGAAGGGTGCCCAGGGCTGTGGTCAAGCCATGGTGTTCAGGGCAGAAAGTGGCTGCTGAGGTATAAAAACAAGTCATTTGAAAATGGGCTTGTAGAGAGGAGACAAGTTAGGGTCGGAGCAAGTTAACCTCTCATACTGCAACTGCAATTACTGCTACTGCTGATAAAGCTGTTTCCTATAGTATAGTAATGTTCTGGGCACAGGAATGGTCCTGAATGGTCCCAAATGATCCCAGAATAGTAATGCTCCTGTGCACCTACCACATCCTGGCTTGTGCTAAGTAATATTTCTATTGCCAGGATGTGGTAGGTAGAATATTGCTATTGCCAGGATGTGGTAGGTAGAATATTGCTATTGCCAGGATGTGGTAGGTAGCCTCAGGAATCAAAGGGTGGAAAACAGTAGTCTAGCCTAAACCATGAGATCTTGTAAGGAAAAGACTAGCTTCATGATTTGGGAGGAGGAATACATCTTGCTTTTGAACTTCTGGAGCTGGTAACAGTGTAGGTTTCATTACATTGTCTCTACAATCTCTTGACATGAAATGAGATTATTTATTTGCTGCTGGCTCTGAAATGCAGTCACAGAATGGTCAGGGTTGGAAAGGACCTTAAGATCATCTAGGTCACAGAGGGAATTATGTTCTGAGATTACTGCATCGTGTTTAACTTGCTGCTGTTGATAAAACCAAGGCATGGTGTGCTACTGCTTGAAAGCCTCTCTCCAACCTCCACAGCTCCATGCCTGCTCCCTTCAGAGCCAGTGAATCGTTTCTCTGCCCAGTTGGGTTATGGTGTCAGTGCTGAGCAGATTGTGTTACTTGCAGGACCGGTCTGGCGTGTGGACCATAACTGCTGCAGTAATCAAGGACAAAACTCCTTTTAGAGCACTTGCTGCTGAGCTCTGCGTGTCCATCGTGAGAGCTGCCTGCGGGGATCTGGGATTCATGGTCATTGCTCTTCAGTGGCCATTGTGTGGAGTAACTCCTGCTGCTTGGAGCCCTGCGTTTCTGCAACCAGCCAACACCAGCACAAGAGGCTGCAGCGACATCCTGGCTTTAAAACTGAAACAGGGGAAGTTTAGATTGGATATAAGGAGGAAATTCTTTCCTGTGAGGGTGGTGAGGCACTGGAATGGGTTGCGCAGGGAGGTTGTGAATGCTCCATCCCTGGCGGTGTTCAAGGCCAGGTTGGACAGAGCCTTGGGTGACCTGGTTTAGTGTGAGGTGTCCCTGCCCATGGCAGGGGGTTGGAACTGGATGATCTTAAGGTCCTTTCCAACCCTAACTGTTCTATGAGTCTATGGCAATGAGCCACTGTGCTGAGCCTCCCTTCTCTTGCAACCTGTTAGAAATGGCTTCTACTTTTCAAATGAACACTTTCTGCCCAGAAAATGCTGACATGAGACCAAGGTGGTGCTGGAGCCCAGAGAGCAGGACATAATGCCCAGGCCTTCACTTACTCATATGTGGTCCGGGTTCCTGAACTGAAGGAAAAGGCTATTTCTTCTTTCCAGACTCAGTGATGGGAAACAAGAAGCTCATTCTCCGCACGACTTGCAGAAAATATATTAAATATCGACAGTAATTAGATCAGCCTGGCTCAGTACAATGTTGATATTAATCCGATTAGATTGAATTTGGGAGGAAATAATGTTTAACTTAATGCCCATAATAAATGAGGAGGAAGGCAGTGAAGCTTTCCTCCTCCATTGCAGTAAGACAGATTAGAAAATAAACAATATTTTAGGGAAGGGAGATGCCATTTCAGGTGGTGGGATGCTGGTGAAGGGATGAAGAAACCCAAAAAGGAACATCAGGGAATAGGCGCAAGCACAGCTCAAAGCCCCCTTGGCTGCACATCCATCAGCTGTGGCTGCTACTGGCCCCATTGAGCTCTGTGGCCGGGCTGCAGGGAGGATGAGCTCAGGCTGAAGGCAGCCTTTAGACTTTCTGGTATCCTCATTTATCCTCCTGTGACAGTTGTTTTCCTTCCCCTTTTGGCTTTACTCCTTCCTCCTGATGAAGGTCCAGCAGATGGGAGCCAACGGATTAGAGGGAGCAGCAGTGAGCATTCACCCTGCAGCCAGCAGGATCCCTGCAGCACCTCAGCCAAGCCCTGGGCTGGGTTAGGGAATGCCCGTCACCCCACACAGCCTCCTCAGCCCCAATGTGGGGTTGGCAACAGGAAACATCAAACCTGTGCCCGTACAAAGCCATCCAGGAGCAGTCACAGCCAGCTTGGTGGAAGCACCCGGTGAGCAGGAGCAGCGCCCACCTGCCTGGGAACTGGAGAATCCCAGCCTGGTTTGTGCTGGAAGGGACCTCAAAGCTCCCCCAGCTCCAACCCCTGCCACGGGCAGGGACCCCTTCCACTGGAGCAGCTTGCTCCAAGCCCCTGTGTCCAACCTGGCCTTGAGCACTGCCAGGGATGGGGCAGCCACAGCTTCTCTGGGCACCCTGTGCCAGCGCCTCAGCACCCTCACAGGGAAGAGCTTCTGCCTAAGAGCTCAGCTCAGTCTCCCCTCGGGCAGGTTCAAGCCATTCCCCTTGGCCTGTCCCTACAGGCCCTTGTCCCAAGCCCCTCTCCAGGTTCTTGTCTTAATACCCTTAAGGTTTCTGTGAGCGTCACACACAGTGAACGAGGTCCTGAGCTCAGGGCAGGGTTTGCCATAACCCTGCTCCCAGGTTTCCTTAACTGAAAAGTTTAAACACGATGAGGTTATGAATTCAGTGTTATTGCTCAGCCTTTGCAGGGTGAGCTGAATTTGTGCAAGTCTCAAAACCCGGTAATGCGATGGTCATGATGCTGAATACAAACCATGGGCTTCTGTTAATCTCTTGATCACTGGGACTCGGAGCAACAGCTTCCTTGATTATTGGGAAGGACGTTTTCACGCTGCAATAGAAACACCCTGTGAGGAGGTGTCCTGGGAAGGGATTCTGCCAGGCTGGAATGCTGCTGTGATAAACCCCACGTGTGCCAGGCAGATCGGAGGGAGCAAGCCTCTGGTTTCAGTGCAGGGAATGCTGGGATGCAGGGATGCTGAGCGGGATGGAGGGGATCAGCACTCACGCACATCACCCTAAACCTTGCTCCAAGGCTTTCCAAGCAGAGGATCCTGCTCACTGAGCATCTGAGGCTGCAGGGCTGCAGATCCAAAGGGAGAGGCTGAGCACTGCGGTGGGGTGGAGGCTTTGCCAGGCCTTGTTTGGAAACAAAGGAGATCTTGGCATGACGGTCCTGATACATGAAATCCATAGGAATTCAGCTGTCTAGACAGTCCTCCACACTTAATCTCCGTGGAGCAGCCTGTTTATCCTATACCTTTCCTTGTTGCTATGTTGAAAATTCTTCTCGTTTCTAACACAAACTCCTATTTTCAAGTGATCACCAGAAGTCATAAAAACAGTGGTGGGAGAGGGAGGATAAAATAGATGGGATGAAGAAGAGGCATTCCTGACATGCACACAATCATCGCTGCGTGCTGCAGTCGGGGTGGATGCTGACTTTTGTAAGGGCCCCGTGTATATTCCTAGAGACATTTGTCTTGTTTCCTAGAGCTATGATGTGTATTTATTGCTGCCTGCTTCTCCTCCTGTACTCCAGACGATGTAGTTCAGTGAAGGCATGGCATGTGCACCAGAACTGCTGTGACGTGCGGAAGGATTCGCTGCTCCATGGCTGCTGAGGCAGGGGAATCGTTTAAAACATCCCTTTGGAATACGCCTGATCGGAGGTGGAAGGTTTGGAGAAGGAGGTTTCAGGTACCCTCTTGCCCAGGGTCTGGCTGTGATCATGGAGCAGCCAAGCCATTGCCCTCACACGCAGTGCAGTGCTGCAGAAGTACCTGGAATCCACATGTACTCCCTGGGAACGCTGCAGTGACCGCCCGGCACCCTGGGCACTGAAGGCGAGAGGAGAGGCTCAGGAGCTGTGTGTAGGGATGGAGCAGAGAAAGGTTCTGAGCAGCCCTGGGGCTTGCACTGGTGGTTGTTGTGCCTTAGGCTGTGTTTATGTTG